GTGTGTGTGTGTGTGTGTGTGTGTGTGTGTGTGTGTGTGTGTGTGTGTGTGTGTGATTGGCTAACTGGGTTCGTCTGTTTGTGTCTCTCTGAGTTAGGTGGAAGCTTGGGTCTCGGCTGTCACTTGGCGTCCTTGTCTGTGTCTCTCTGTATATGTATATTCTTCTTCGGGGTTAGCCTGCGCGCATCTCTGAATTTCTGATGAAGCCAAAGAAGTCGGCTGGAGGGACGTGGGAGAGAAGGACAGCCCCTCAGCTCCCTCTATTCACTCACACACATGCACGCACATTGAGTGCAAAGATCTCCTAGGATCCTTGCCTCTTCTCTAGGAACCTTTTTCTCTAAAGGGAGAGCCAGGGATCCGGGCCAAGGATGAGGTAGGAAACTTTCCAAAAAGAGTGAGTGGGTGTGCTATAGGAGACACCTTCGTGGCGCTGGACCGGCTTCAAGACTGGGGGAAGGGCAGGAGGGCCAGGGGGACACAGGATTTAGAATTAGAAGGAGTTTCCTTAGAGATCATCTAGCCCAACTCTCTGTTTATTTTTAAAAAAACGCTTTAATGATTTTTAAAAACCATACTATCTTCTCCCAGTGACTCCCTCATTCCCTCCCTCTCCCTTGTAAGGAGTTAGGAGGGTTAAACAACAACAGTAACAAAAAATCAGCAAATCAGTCATGTCTGAAAATAATGGCCTTATTCCTCATCTGTATACTGCCTTTTTGTACTGAGAGGTGGGAAGCAGGCTTCACCACAGGATCATACCTTAGAGGCTCTCTGGTCCAACCCCGGAAATTTCAGACAAGGAAACTGAATCTGAAAGAGGTCAAATGACTTGCTGAGAGTAACGCAGGTAATATGTATCAAAAACAAGCTTTGAAATCATGCCTTCTTGGCTCCCAGCCCAGTACTCCATACAGTGAACCCCCTAGCCTCCTCAGTCCTCTGAAGCCATGACTGGTCACTGCATTGATTAGAGTTCTGAAGTCTTTCAGAATTATTTTCCTTTACATTATTATGGTCATTGTGAAAATTGTTATCTTGGTTCTGCTTGCTTCTCTTTGCATCAGTTCAAATAACTCTTCCTATTTGTCATTTCTTATGACACAATAATACCCCATTGCATTCATATATCACAAATGATTTAGCCATTCCCCAGTCAATGGACACTAAGGTGGCTCAGTGGATAGGGCACTAGGCCTAGAGTTTGGAGGACTTGAGTTCAAATACAGCCCCAGATACTTACTGGTTCTGTGACCCTGAACAAGTCAATTAACCTCTGTCTGCCTCAGTTTCCTCAACTGGAGATAATAATAGTAGAATTGTTGTGCGGCTCAAAAAAGATGACATTTATAATGCCCTTAACATAGTGCCTGGCACACAGGACACACAAGCATTAATTAATGCTTGTTTCCTTTCCTTTTTCTAGTTCTTTGCTACTATAAAAGTGCTGCTATAAATGTTTTGTTATATGTGGCATCCTCCTTTCCCTTTGTCTTTGTCCTCAGAGTTTATGCCTAGTAGAGATACACCTGGGTCAAAGAGTATATATATTTAGTGACTTTTAATATATAATAATATGTAATTTATATCTAATTTAATATATGTACATTATCTATAATTATACATAATATATAATTTAATGTATAATTAATATATAATAAATTATCTTTATTTCTATCTTTTGTCATACTGATCCAACTCCATTTTAGTTTGTCTGGTTTTTTTGTTTTTTGCTAGGCAGTGGGGTTAAGTGACTTGCCCAGAGTCACACAGCTAGTAAATGTCAAGTGTCTAAGGCCAGATTTGAACTCAGGTCCTCCTGACTCCAGGGCCAGTGCTCTATCCACTGCATCACCTAGCTGCCCCCCAACTCCATTTTAGTGAGGAGGACACTGAGGGTCAGTTAGAAGGAGTGCCTTGGCTACTGTTCACAGAATAGCAGAGTCGGTATTTGAACCCAGATTCTCTAATTTCAAACTATTGCTCTTTTGACTCCACCAGGCTGTCATGCCTTGGTCTGTTCTCCCTCATGTCCCTCCTCTCCCTATCCTCAGAGGCAGAAAGAGAGTCCTGGGCAAATGAGGCCCAGGATGAAGGCTATCTAAATTCTTTTGGCAGAGAGAACTCATGAAGCCTTACCTTCAGCCTCCCCAGGGCCATGGGTTTGATGTTTCTATCCGCTGATGATAACAACTCACAATTCAAGTTTTGAAAAGGTGTTCCTTCTAACTCTTCAGCCTCTAGCCCCTAAGCCTCTACCTTGATCCTCTCTAACCCTTGTAACCCTTAATTCCCTACCTAGGCCCTCAAGAAGACTGGAAGATCAGGGCAGCTAGGTGGCACAGAGAATAGAGCACCAGCCCTGGATTCAGAAGGACCTGAGTTCAAATCCGTCCTCAGCCACATAACACTTACTAGCTGTGTGACCCTGGGCAAGTCACCTAACCCCATTGCCTAGCCAAAAAAATAAAAAAAGTAAGACTGAAAGATCTAGAATCCCCTCCTCAGTTCCAGTTTCCAGCATTCCCAAAAGGTGAAGCTAGCTAGCATTTGGATAAGCATCCCAGGGGACATTCATGACTACCTAGGGGTTCAAAGGGGATGTAAAGAGATCCCTGATGCTCTGGGGCCTCTCAAGTTTGGAAGGAGAGGAAAAGTAGAGCAAGGATGTGGGAAGGGGGTTTGGAGACACCTTGAGGGTGGGGTGAAATTGGAGTTTGGGGAAGGGAGGGGGGTCACCGTGGAAAAGGGATGGTCAAGGGATGAGGTAGAAGTCAAAGGCTGGAGTTTAGGGAGGATGGAATGAAAAAGGTGGTTAGAATCACTGCCCTCCTTTAACAGATTTGAGAGACAGAGGGAGGACTCTGGGATGCTGGGATGGAAGAAGGAGTTGTCCAGGTAGACTGAACTGAAAAAAAAGTGTGACAGAAGGGATCTCAAAACAAATCAGGGAGTGTCAGAGGTAGGAGGGCCTCATCACCAGAAGTATGCAGGCAGAGGCTGGAATGCTATTTATAAGGCATGCTATAATAAATCACATTTCTAGAGCACTTTAAGGTTTATAAAGCATTTCACTCACAATGACCTTGTAAAGTAGATTGGGCAGGTATTATTATCCCCATTCTACAGATGGGGAAACTGAGACTCGTGGGCAGGGGACATGTGGAGTGGACGTGTTCAGCTACACAGCTTGAAAGCCAGGACTCTATTCAGGTCTATTCAATGTAACAGACATTAATTAAACGTCTGCTCTGTGTCAGGCACTGCAGAAAGGCATTCCACATTGTGTAGGAGTGTGGACAACATGCTTTCCAAGGCTCCTTCCAGTTCTGAGGCTCTGCGAATCTCAGGTTTTCTAATTCTTGGCTCTCACGCCTTACCTTCGCCATCTCCCGTCCCACAGGTCCTGACTGATCAGCCCTTATGACAAACATGAGCTGGAGCTTTCTGACGAGGCTGTTGGAGGAGATTCACAACCACTCGACCTTCGTGGGCAAAGTTTGGCTGACGGTGCTGATTGTCTTCCGAATCGTGCTGACCGCGGTGGGCGGCGAGTCCATCTACTCGGACGAGCAGAGCAAATTCACCTGCAACACGCGCCAGCCCGGCTGTGACAACGTCTGCTACGACGCCTTCGCCCCCCTCTCCCATGTGCGCTTCTGGGTCTTCCAGATCGTTGTCATCTCCACGCCCTCCGTCATGTACCTCGGCTATGCCATCCATCGGCTGGCCCGAGCATCCGAAGAGGAGAGGCGCCGGGCCAGGCGCGGGCGTCAGGGTGGCCGCCTGGCCCGCAGGCGTCCGCCAAGGAGGAGGCCACCGCCGCTGCCCCACCCTGGCTGGGCAGACACCCCGAATGGCGGAGAGGAGGAGCCCATGATGGGCCTGGGGGGTGGCGTGGGAGAAGAAGAGGAGGGCGCGGATGGAAGCAGGGAGGACCGGCAGCAGGAAGAAGAAGAGAAGGAAGCACTGGCAGGAGAGAAGGGCAAGGGGTCTCCGGAGGCCGGGCCTGCCAACCAGAAGCACGATGGGAGGCGAAGGATCCAGCAGGAGGGTCTGATGAAGATCTACGTGTTGCAGCTATTGGCTCGGGCCTCCTTTGAGATCTGCTTCCTGGTTGGGCAGTACCTGTTATACGGCTTTGAGGTGCAACCATTCTTCCGCTGTAGCCGGGAGCCCTGCCCTCACACGGTTGACTGCTTCGTGTCTCGGCCCACAGAGAAGACCGTCTTCCTCCTGGTGATGTATGTGGTCAGCTGCCTCTGCCTTATCCTTAATCTCTGTGAGATGGCCCACCTGGGTCTAGGTAGCTTGCAGGATGCAGTGAGGAGCCGCAGGGTCGGGGGCCGGGACCAGGGTTCGGACGGCTATCCTTCACCCCCGCCCCTGCCCCGGCAGCTACCCCATGGCTACCCGTATACTCGCAACATGTCCTGCCCACCTGAGTACAACCTGGTGGTCCGGGCTGAGAGGGCGGCAGCAGCGGGGCGGCTCATGCCCGGTGGACTCCTAGCCCATGAGCAGAACCTGGCCAACGGGGCCCTGCAGGAGCTCCAGCAGCTTCAGGGCCCCGGCTCAGAGGAAAACCTACCACCAGGAGATCTTGATGCCTTCCGAGGAACCCATCGAGCTGAGACCCAGGACCCTGCCAATGGGGTTAGGAGCAACGGATTTCCTGCTTACACATCCCAGGTAGGGCTACCACATTCAAGGACTGACAGCCCGGCCTCAGCGGGCACAATTGTGGAGCAGAACCATGCCGATGGTGCCCAAGGGCGGCAAGGGGCCAAAACCAAATCCAACTCAGAGAAAGGCAGCAGTGTTGGCAGCAAGGATGGCAAGGCATCCGTGTGGATATGAAGACTTTTGGATGGGGGAAGGGGAGAGCCAAGAGCCAACCTCCATACAACCCCCAACCTCTATCCTTCCCCTAGAGTCTCCTTAAACTTAGCCCCAAGATGGGACTTGGTTTTATAACCCAGAAGAACATCAGTGCACAGACTTAGGAGAAAGGAGGAAACATGCTGTGGAAAGAGAATTGATCTTGGAGTCAAGAGATTTAGGTTTGAATACTGGTTATCCTACTTACCAGCTGTGTGACCTTGGGCAAATCATTTCCCTTATCTGAGCCTCAGTTTCCATCTCTGTAAAATGAGGGAGTTGGACTAGCCATAACCTTCTGTGACTGTGATTTAAACCACGTGGTTGGCAATTCAACTTGCCTTCCCTTCTTTGGGCTTTGGGGGTGGGGAAGTTGGGGAATACCAAAAATCGAGGATCTGAGGTGAGGCAATGGAGTTCAAATTTAAGGCTCATGACCCATTATCATCATTATTTTCTTGTAGAAGATGTACCTTTTCTAAAGATAGCAACAGAAGCCCTTTAACAGATATTATGATCTAGTGAAAAAGACACTTGACCTCCTCTATCCAATGGAAAACAGGGCTGGCCTCTGAGCTCTCTTCTGGGTCTAACCTTCTCTGATTCTACGTGTCGCTTGTGCTCTGGGGGAAATCATGGGGGTTAGAATCCACTGGGTTGGCTGGATCCCTAAGACTATTAATGAGGGAGCCTGAGTTTGGAAATGGGAAAGATGCCTCTGAGACACCCTGGTGTAATGAAAAGCACAATAACTTTGGAGGCAGGAGATTGGGGTTTAGATTCCAACTCTGCTACTGGAAGCTGTCTAAAGTCCCGTCTGGCTCAACTCATGGGATCCTCTGTTTTGTGGGTGAAGGGGAAAGAGTCATTTAGTGCCCTGGGATTCAGTGATCACACGGTCCTTGTGCCAAGAGCTGGGGTGGAAGATCATCCCCAAAGCCAGCAGTATACTGCAGGGTATTATCTCTCTGGCCTTGGTTCTGTCTCTCCCTGGCTGTTAGTTGCCATGTGATCAGGGAAGGCAGACGTTTCAATCTTTACCTGAGCCAGGCAACTAAAAAGATAAAGAATCCCTCCCTTTGCCCTTTCCCCCTGAAAAGAGCCACAGAATGTATCCCAAAGTCAAATACACATGATTGATTTATGTGGTGGGGATTGTGGACTCTGGGTGCCATCCTTCCATTGGGCAGCTAATTGATAATTGATCTTACCTGTTCACCATATCACCATGTGTTTGTACAGTCTTAACAGCCTCTCCCTGGTCCCATTAATTGTGCAAAGGTAATTCTTGCCCTGACTAGCATGTGTTAGAGGTTTGTCTAAGCATGGGAAGCCCTGAGGAAGGAATTACAAAGGGCCCCTACCTGGGAAGAGGTAAGTTCTTTCCTTATCCTCATCCTGGTTCCTTCTCAAAGCACCAAGACACCTCAAGTGCCATCACTCTTTGGGGAGAACAAAATTCACTGGGGTTCACCAACTCCCAACCCTACTGTGGTCCAAGGGATAATAGTTGTTGAGTATAATGAGGACCTACCTGGTATCATCCTCATTCTCTCTCCTGCTTCCTCTGGGATCCCAGCAGGTATCAGGGTCCAAGCTGGGGGAGAGAGGGAGGAGACAGTTATGCCAAAGAGAAGGAAATTAAAATGGTGATGAGAGCATGGCTTCTAGAGACCCTCAGGAGCTAAGAAGTTTCAGTAGTAACTCCAACAGATTTCTTTTTGTATTCAGAGCCCATGTGGCTGTGACATAAAGCCAAAGCAATACTCAGAATAGCCTCTCCCCAAGGCTGTCCCTACCAATAGATAGAGGAGAGGGGTTTGCCTGCACAGTATAATTTGAAGGACACTTCCTCTGACTACCTGTCACGGTGTCTGAAAGTCCACCATTATCATTTTAGTCCTTTGAGGTTTAAAAGCTCCCTAGTCTTCCAGAAGCCACTGCTGAAATCTAAATACCTCTGGAAAGCAAGACACTTTATACATATAAGTTGCATATTCGTTACCAGCTAATGCCTTAGTGGGGATTAGTTGACAACTAGTTAAGAACAAGTGCTTATGTTACTATGGGTGTAAGAGATGGAACGGAGTTTCCAAAGGATGGAGGAAGGTGATGAAACAGAAAGTGGAAGGAGGTAGGGGTGGCAGGGGTGGAGGGGACTGGCCTGGGCTCCCCTGAACCTGGGCTCAAGTTGTTGCCAGCTGTTCCACTGACTGGTTGTGTGATCATAGGCCAATCATTTCCATCTTTGGACTCAGTTTTTTCATCTATAAAATGGAAGAGTTCAACTGAATGATTATTAGGGTTTCTTCCAGCGCTGACATTCCACATTCACTATTCAAGGTCTTTTTTCAGCTTGAATATTCTATGAGTCTTGGAAGTAGGAAGCAAATATTCCCTCCCCAGTGGGAGGGGAGAATGGACAGTCTTGGGAGAGAAAGATTGAGAATAGGAGTAAGAAGAGGATTTGGAGGAGTACTGGCATCATGTCAGGGGGTCCCTGGTGCAGAGATGCTCAGAGGGTGATTCTAGGGATGCCAGAGTTCTTCCTCCTCCCATGGGGAAAGGGCTGAGATTACCTCCAAATCCCATGTTTCCTCATGCCTAGCCAATCATACTGTTGAAAGGAAGAAGGAAGGTTCCAGTAAAAAGGAACACACTCAATAAGCAGGATCCTGGCTTACAGGAGACATGTTTGATAGGCGGTAGGGGACAACTCTTAATTATTATCAAAATCAACCCAGAATTCTGCCTCCCTAGAGCTATCCTAGGGTACCACTCTCTGAGCATGGCATCTCCTCTCTCCTCGTATACCCAGAAAAGTGACCTTCTAGTCCTAGGTCCTTCTAGTGACCAGGGCCAAGTTCACATCTCAGAGAGACACAAAGTCAGGCCTGTGGGCATTGAGTAAGACTAAGGAGGTGGGCTCTAGGGACACACTCCTTGTGTGGAGGCCTAACCCTTCCCATCACTCCTAGGCACGAGGTGGCCTAGAATACCCCAAGCTGACCCATCTACTCTTTGCCCATTGCTTCAGAACTTCTGCTTCAAGGGCAAATTATCTGGTGGGAGGAGGTGGCAGAGAGGCCAAGATGGAAGAAGGGGGGAAGCTACTTTGGATTCACTGGGAATAGCCTGGTCTGACCTTATCCTATTCCCTATTCTAGCCCCTGCTGACTTGTTCTGATATTAGCCTGAGACGAGACAAGCCACTGGAGAAAGGGAAGTCTGTTGCCAATCCACTTGTTTGTATTATCTGTATGGCAGGATGGGGAAGCATAGGACCAAAAGCAGGACCATATCAGACTCCACTCTACTTCTTTCTTACCCTAGGGGTACTTCAAGCATCCCCATGCTGGACACCATCCAGACTGGACAAGGACACTAGACCCTGTCCTCTCTCTTGCTTCTTCATTAGCATGGCAAACTGGAAAGAATGTAAGAGCAAATAACACAATGTCAGAGCTGGAGGGGACCTTAGGGATCAACCATTTTATTGAGGCAGACACTGAGGCCCAGAGAGGAAAGTGACTTGACCTAGCATCTAGGTCTCCCATCCTAGGTTTCCTGGCACTACAACCTGATTTCTCAGCTGCCAGACCAATAATTTTGAGGTCCAGGTGGTTTCCCAGGTCATCCATACTCTCAGATTTTTGAAAAATTAGGTTTGGGGAGTAGAGGAATGAGGTAGAGTTTCAGAGTAGTTATCCCCTTGTTTAAGACCCTGGTATGTTCATTGTGGACACCTTTGACTTCCTTTTCCCTGAGCCCCATTGACTTTCCATCCCCCTGAGAAATACTTGAAGTCTTCATAAGCGTCAGGGCCAGCCGAAGAGCTAGCCAATGAGTTCCGTTTCTGTTCCTGAACTAACTCACCTTTGCATCTGGGACTGCCAATATGGGCTGAGAAACCTGATTCTTAGGATAGGAGAATCAGGGGCAGGGAGCCATGGGGCCCCTCCCTTTAGTCCTATCTCTCCATGCCATCACCAAGCCAGCCCCACTACACCATGGGAGATGCAGGTTCCAATACTAATAGAATGAAATAAATAAATAAAATAAAACTCGACTTTTGTTTACAACCTCCTGTGTGTGCTACCAAGTGTTTATTTTTATTTCAGCCATCAGTAAAACTTTGCTTACCTCCCATTTGCCCAGGCCTGGACTAGACTTTACGTTCAAGACTTGACAGGCAAAGAAAGTACTATAACTGTCCTTTGATGCTCACAGTCTAGTTGGGGAATCAACACATCTGTGAAACACATGACAATACAAGATGGAACATAGCCAAGTAATACTAAATTCTGTGGTTTACTCGCTCACTCATTTACTCATTCAGTCTCTCATTCATTTACTCCTTCACTGTCATTCAATCATACATTCATTCTCATTCATTCATCATTATCGAGCCCCATGTTCAGAGCTCAATGTCTTTGTAGTAGAAAAGATATAAAGATATCTAATCATCATTAAGGAACACATGGACTCTTGCCCTCATGGAGCTCATTAAGGGAATATAACAAAAAGTAACCTATATGAAAAAAATTGTAAACAAAAAAATTATAAAAATTTTATTAAGAATACTGAAAAACTGGAAATAATCAACATATCCATTGATTGGAGAATGGCTTGATCAATTTTGGCGTAGCAAAGTAATGGAACATTTTTATATCACAAACAAATCAAGATCAACTATATGGCCTTTAAGATCCTTTCTAGGGGGAAGCTAGGTGGTGAAGTGGATAGAGCACTGGCCCTGGAGTCAGGAGAACCTGAGTTCAAATCTGGCTTCAGACACTTTACACTCACTAGCTGTGTGTGACTCTGGGCAAGTCACTTAATGCCAATTGCCTCACCAAAAACAAACAAACAAACAAAAAAAAGATCCCATCTAACTTTGAAATTCCATGACTCTGAAACATAAACCGTGTGAAAACATATGTAAAGTGATGTGTGGGAAAGAAAGTGGAATTTAAACAACATACACTTTGACCATGACCACATGAAAATAATTTAAATACATTTAATAAAAAATAAAATAATTAAAAATAACAGCAACAAAGCTTTCTAAATGCCTTTGCAATGGCAAGATATAGATGGAGAAATGAGAGTGGAGGATCATTTCCCCTAAAATCTCCTTATTAATCTTAATCCCCTAAAATCAAAGAGTTACCCTGGAAACTCTGATTCTCCAGTCATCGCGCTCACTGAACAATGTTCCAGATAAATTTTTTTTGGTGACTGCATGAGGTCTTAATTGTAAAGATCCCTCCTACTTTAACAAAGGTCAGTTAAAGAATCAGATAGTGGAAGGTATAAAGCCTGGAAAAGAAAAGACATGATCATTGTCTTCAAATACTTGAAGGGATGTGATATAGAAGAGTCATTACACTTATTCCCTTATTAGATTGTAAGCTCCTCAAGGGCAGGTGCTGTCTTTTGCCTCTTTTTGTATCCCTAGCACTTAGCACAGTGCGGGCACCTAGTAGGCTCTTAATAAATGTTTGTCTATTGATTGATTGTTCTATTTGGTGCTGGAGACACTGTGCTAAGCGTTATACAGAAACAAGAGAGCCTCTCTTCTCAAGAAGCTATAACCTTATCGTGGAAAAGAGGTCATGGGCCAACACGGGACTTTCTCTTAATTGGCTATGCATATTTGTTTCAAGTATCTTGGTTTTCCTTTTTTTCTTTCTCAATGGGTTGGGGATGATGGGAGGGAGAAAAATATGTTTATTCATTGAAGAAATAAAGAATAAGTAGACAAATAAAAAGAAATCAAGAAAGGACCCAAAGCAAACAAGTTCCTTTGGTTATTTGTCATTTCATCAAACTGTGATCTCCACTAAAGTCTTCTTTTGGTGCCTCCTTGTGGTGTAGAGGTGACCCTGGATTTTTAAAGGCTGTACTAATTAGGTGCAAGCTCCAACTGGTCCCATCAAATTGGGAAGCTTCTTACAGAATCCTGACAGTAGACTGGTGGGTGGGTGGGAGGGTAGGGCTGTGGTCTGTGATCCTGGGATCAGCCTGGCTAAGTTCAGAAAGGTTTAGCCAGTTGGTGATTATTTTTTAAACACAATTTTTGAACACAAGAAGTATCAAAATATAGATCATTCAAACTGTATGGGTTTCATTTGGGATTTCTATCTTTATTGTCCATTATATGTACATTTGTGGTTGTTCAGAGTATTATTAAGTTTCCAATTTTAAAAAATACTTAAAAAAAAAGGAAAAGGAACATTCCAGGCAGAAATGGACTTCCCCTCTTACCCCCAACCCCCACTCTTCATCCTCTAGCTCCATTCAGTTATGTCCTCCATTGGAACAATGGGTCATTAAGGTGGCAGAGTTCAATAGAGGTCAGAAAAGCTTATCCTCTCTAGGGGACCACCAACACAGCCTGGCAGACCTGACCTGGCTCCCTTCTTCCTCCCCCTCTGGACAAAGGACAGAGGAAGAAAAGATCAAAACAGGAGAAGAATCATTTCCTTCTAAAGCTTCACACCCTTCCATGGCTCCAGACTGAATTCTAAACCTGGTCATAAACTGATTCCTAAACTTTGCTCACTAGGGTATCTGGGGTGGTTCATACTAGCACTTGAAGAGTGAGTGTCCATGGGTCTGTGGGATGGCCCTGTCCCGAGCTCTTCTCCAAGTGATTTTGACACCTCTGCTCCTTCACCAATCACGGCCAGGGCTCAGACTCCTCCTAGGTAGTATTAACACCTATTAACCCAGGCCTACTCATATCGAGAGGTTCTGAGAGGTGGGAGAAAAGGAATTTAAGTCTTATCCTGGCCCCGACCATTCCTCAACATGAATCTATCTCCAGTCACAGCCAGAATTCCTAGCTCCAATCTAAACCTTATGCTAACCCCAACTTTAGCCCTAACCCAAACTCCAGAGCCATCTTTAATCCTAAGTGAACCTAGGGTCTTGTGCAAGAAATGTTTACTAATATATTTGTGTCTCAGCTTTGCTACTAAGTACTAGACTGGGAATTAAGAGGAACCTGGATTTAAATTCCATTTCTGACACCTATTATTTGCATGACCATGGGCACACAGACCAAAGTTTTTGACTGATCTATCCCTGCAGGGGATTCTTTATAAAGAATGCCTCTTGCC